AAAAAGACTTAAATATTAAATCAGAAATGATAAAGATCATGGAAGAATGCTACAAGCCTTACATATGGCATAAACACAATACAAACCATAAGTAACAATGCACCAACACCAGATGAGAGACTAGATAAATGGGAGCTCCTGAAAGTCAAACACTTATGCTCATCAAAAGACTTCACCAGAAGAGTAAAAAGACAACCTACAGACTGGGACAAAAATTTTGGCTACGACAAATCCGATCAGCGTCTAATCTCTAAAATCTACAAGATACTGCAAAACCTCAACAACAAAAAGACAAATAACCCAATTAAAAAATGGGCAAAGGATATGAACAGGCACTTCACCAAAGAAGATATTCAGGCGGCTAACAGACACATGAAGAAATGCTCACGATCATTTGCCATTAGAGAAATGCAAATCAAAACTACAATGAGATATCTCACCCCAACAAGGCTAGCATTAATCCAAAAAACACAAAATAATAAATGTTGGAGAGGTTGTGGAGAGACTGGAACACTTATACACTGTTGGTGAGAATGTAAAATGGTACAACCACTTTGGAAATTGATTTGGCGCTTTGTTAAAAAGCTCTAAATAGAAGTACCATATGATCCAGCTATCCTGCTCCTTGGAATACATCCTCGAGAAATAAGAGCCATCACATGAATAGATATATGCACTCCCATGTTCATTGCAACATTGTTCACAATAGCAAAAAGATGGAAACAACCTAGGTGCCCATCAATGGATGAATGGATAAACAAATTATGGTATATCCACACAATGCAATAGTACGCAATGGTAAAGAACAATGATGAAGCTCTGAAATACCGTACAACATGGTAGAAGCTGGAACCTATTATGCTGAGTGAATTTAGTCAGTCACAGAAGGACAAATACTGTATAAGACCACTATTATAAGAACTCAAGAAAAGGTTTAAACACAGAAGAAAACATTCTTTAATGGTTATGAGTGTGGGGAGGGAGGGTGAGGTTATTCACTAACTAGATAGTAGATAAGAATCATCTTTGGCAAAAGGAAGGACAGCACACACTACAAGAGAAGTCAGCAGAACTGGACTACAACAAAGCTAAGAAGTTTCCTGAATACAATCAAATACTTTGAGAGACTGAGTAGTTGGGGTAGGGGTCTTGGGACCATGCTTTCAGGTCACATCTAGGTCAATTGGCATCACAAAGCTTATTAAGAAAATGTTCTGCCTCCTACTTTAGTGAGTGGTTTCTGGGGTCTTCAAAGCTTGCAAGTGGCCATCTAAGATGCATCAATTGGTCCCAACCAGTTGGAGTAAAGGAGAACAAAAAACACCAAAGACACAAGGAAAGTATTAGCCCAAGATACAGGATGGGCCACATAAACCAGAGTCTTCATCATCCTGAGACTAGAAGAACTAGATGGTTCCTGGCTACCACCAATGCTGTCCTGACAGGAAACACAACAGAGAGTCCCTGGTGGAGCAGGAGAAAGGTGGGTGGCAAAACTCAGATTCTAGTAAGAAGGCCAGACTTAATGGTCTGACTGAGACTGTAGGTACCCCAGAAAGCACAGCCCCGGACTCTCTATCAGCCCAGAACTAAAACAATATCCGAGGCCAACTCTTCAGACAGGGATTGGACTGGACTGTGGGACATAAAGTGATCCTCGTGAAGAGCGTGCATCTTAGTCAAGTAGGTACAAGAGACCAAAAGGGCAGCTTCTGTCCAGAGGTGAGAGGGGAAGGCAGAGATGGTTAGGAGCTGTTTGAATGGTAAAGGGGAATCAGGGGCGGAAAGGAGGAGTGTCCTGTCACAGAATGGTGTGAGCAATTAGGCTCACATAACAACGCATGTATAAAATTTTGTATGGGAGACTAACTTGAAATGTAAACTCCATTTAACTACAACAATAAAAAAAAATAAAGCTGAAGAAAAAAAAAATTTATCCCTTGGGAAAAATGAACACATACACAAAGATGAATGTGATAGAAGGCATTATAACATTGTATAATACTAAAAGCCTTGAAATACAAACACAATTCCAACAACAGTGTTGGAGATACCTTGTTACCTCTCTAAATACCCATTCACTCCATTTAAAAACCAAAATTATATTTATATCTATGGGTATATATTTGCATGGAGATGGGTAGGAAAGGCTAGACAAAAATATTTACCATAAATATTTTTGAGTAGTTAATATTTTTGAGTGGTGTTATTTGGAAGGAGTTTAACATTTAAAAAGGTTTTGCAATTTCCAATTTTTTTCTTTAACCATCTTATTTTAATAGAAAATTTAAGGATTAAAAAAGCTATATAAATTAATTTCCAAAGTCAATGGTGAGACAGAATAAAATGTCTACATATATAGAAAGATGAAAGGAAAACCTATACAAATCACTCCTACAAATAAAAAAGAAATAGAAATGTGTACAAGTAACATGCATAAGAAATCTCCTAAAGGGGAAATAGAAATGGTTAGTAAACAAGGGATAAACCATTTTTAACATCATTAGTATTTTAAATATGCAAATGAAAACAGGAAGCCATTTTCACCAATCACATTGCAAAGATTTTTTAAAAAAAAGGAAGAAAGATCCTATTCAGTTGTCAAGTGGGCAGTTATACCGCTAGTGGGTGTGTAAATTGCCCTGAAAGTTTCTAAAGGGCCCTTGCTCAGTACAGACCAAGAGCCTTAAAGGTGGTCATGCTATTTCATTTCCAGGATTTATCTCAGGAAAGTAATGACACAGATGCACACTGAATTAATAGACGAGGCTGTTCATTGCTATAGGGTTTATAGTACTTCTGGTGAAACGAGTTCCTTTATGTGGCATTTTACCTTGGTTCTTTGGAGAAACAGCTTGAGAGCTTTGTCCCCTAAGACCTGAGGACTTACCTTTGCCCTAGTTTTCTACCCCAGAGGGTTTGTTACTTTTGTCCAGGTTGATTGACATTTCCTGGGTAAGCTCTAAACAGCTTGATGGTTTGATAATTTTTGCCTGGCCCTGGGCTGTAGCCTGCCCTATGATTGGTCTATTTTACCCACCTTGCAGGGATTGGTCAATATACTTATGCAAATGAGTGACATATTTATGCAAATAAAGTGACTGTGGCCTACCGAGAGACAATTGGTCAGTTTGTGGTTCTGGTGGGAGGGCCATGCAATGAAATTGAACAGGAGATTTCTTATCTATGCAGCCAACCCCACAGAGGTTTGCAGACACAAGAAAGAAGAAAGAAGCAAAAAGAAAAATCAAGAGAGGCAAAAAGAGAGAAGCAATACAAAGAGTGGAGGTGAGGAATCTTCTAAAAGTGCAATAACACAGGTCAAGGGCTGCCACACTGAAGACAGCGAGAGGCCCAGAAGGGATCCTACAGCAGAGCTGGTGACAACAGGCCTGGAGTTAAGATATGTGAGTAAGAAAAATAAAGAATGTCCAAGATTTTCACCGGCTCAGTTAAGGAAGCTTTCCTGGAGAAGATGATACAGCAAAGGTAAATTATTTTTTACAATATCTAGAATGGTTCCACCATTAGTATTTATTTCCACAATGCATATTCCTATTTATATAATATTTACATCATTATCAGAAAATTAGAAAATGCTGCTCTGCCTCTGAAGAGGAAGCAAGATTAGGAGTAAGAACAGTGAAATCAGGATACAAGGAACACTCATGATAGGACATTGGACGTTTGTGTAGGCTGACTGTTTTTAAAGAGAGCATACCAGGGAGATGACATGCAATTTGTACATTCTAAGGCAGCCAGGTATATAAACCAATCACCAGTTTTATTGTTAATCTTCTAAATCTGAGGCAGACAGCCTCAGAGCCCAACCCTTCCAGGAGACACCTGCTCTGGCTTATCCTCCTACACCAGGCAGAATAGGCCACACATTCTTCTGAAATTGTCCTTGACAAGACAACCACAGAACAGCCATCATGGGCCTCAACTGGTTTTAACAGATTTTCTATACCATCTTAACATTTCAAGTGACCTATCAGCTCATTAAGTGAAAAATACATATAAGCACTCCACCTCTGGGTGGAGGCTTAACATGCTATTGAAGGAAAATCGACCTCTTCTTCCATTCTGGAGAATCAAACCCTTGTCTAAAGAAAATATATAGTTATTCCCAACCCCTAAGGAGCCCCGGTGGTGCAGTGGTTAAAGCAATTGACTGCTAACTGAAAGGTAGGTGGCTCGAAGCCACTAGTGGCTCCGCAGGAGAAAGATGTGACAGCCTGCATCCGTAGAGATTTACAGCCTTGGAAACTCTATTGGGTTGCTATGAATCAGAACCAACTCAATGGTAGCGGGTTTGGTTTGGTTTGGTCCCCAAGCCCTAAGCACCTGCACGAAGGTCAATCCTGAATATTCATGATAAATTTGCATTTCCTTGCCTGCTATCTGTAAAAGCCTGCCTCCCCAAGCTGCCTGCTAGCAGTCTCGGAGGCAACAGCTCCAATTGCTCCTTTCCTTGTGCAACAAAATAAAGATGCCTTTCTGCTCTCCCACCTCGGCCTCTTGTTTATTGGCTATAACAAGTCACACTGAGCAGAACCTGCAGTTTCCACCCGGCAACAAAACCACGTATTTCCATATGTCTAAATACTGGGGAAATGATTCTCAAAGAGTAATTCTGACAAATTACACTTGTGTCTCCATACCTGAGGGTTTGCAGTAGTCTCCAAGCAGACCATGGTTATTCAATACACATGAGCAAGGTAGCACTTTCCGAGCTGCTGAAATAAAATACATGAATAACCTACTCACCTCCCTTTGTAGTCTATTCAAGGGCACATTATACAAGAACAGAGGCTTTCGTGGTCTGATTACAAACACCTCTGTGTTCTAGCATGGGTATATGTGAGAGGGCACACTCGGGAGAGGTGGGGATGCATCTACTTGCCAGAAACATCTCTCAAAAGACACCAATGCTTATCTTATCCCTTATAACATCACATATGTTTGGCAGATAACAAGCAAATCAAACAACTCCTTACCTTTAGAGAATTTCCACACAATGGTGGGTACAGGATAACCCTCAGCCGAGCAGTTGAGGATGACAGCTTTGCCATAAATCCCGTCCTGGTCCCGGGGCTGAACCACAAACTTGGGGGGAACTGAAAAGAGAGAAACATCACGAACAATTCAGATAAGACCACAGCTTAATAAAAGTGTACTTAAGAAATCCAAGAATTCTAGTGATCTCAAAATACATGGAATGTTTTATATAGATGAGAAAATAAAATCAGTGTTTATAGTTTGGGGCAAACGAAGAGAAAGTCTTGGTGTGGACAATTTTTCTTATTTATATCAACAAGCTTATGTAGATGGAAGTTATTTCGCACTAGGGAAAACTGGACTCCTGAGTGTAGGAGTTTGACTAAACCATAGGAATGTGACATTTTGCTTTTTATTTGTGTTATAAAAGGAGGTTTCAGGAATTTGCTTTATGGAAAATAGAATTAGAATTCACCATTTAAAGGACAGATAAAAGATATATGTGTTCCTTAAATAGTAATTTTCTAGGATAAGTATTCCTCTTGGGTCTATGATGTTCTTAACCTCTATTTTTTCTTTTGAAGGAGATGGAGGGAGAACTAATAGGTACCCTTTAAAGGGTGACATAAAAGGTTAAGCAATCAGCTGTTAACCAAAAGGTCGGTGGTTCAACACAACCCAGAGGTGCGTCAGAAGATAGGTCTGGTGATTTACTTGCAAAAAATCAGCCACTGAAAACCATTTGGAGCACAGTTCTACTCTGACACACATGGGGTCGCCATGAGTCAGAATCAATTTGATGACAACTGGTTTAGGTTTTTGGTTTTAAAGGCAATAAAGAACACAACATAGTATTGAACTTTCTCCAAAAATCTGATGAGGACACACTACTCCTGGTGTTAGCACCATTTTGGACCCAAGGGGGACTTTGGGGGCTAGTTGAAGTAATCCACCAAAATGCCTCTATAGTGTACCTATAAGAAACATCTATTAAGGTTGGGGGGAGGAAATACTAAATAGACAATAGATAAGTGGTATCTTTGGTGAAGGGTGAGACAGTACACAATACTGGGGAAACCAGCATAACTTGTACAAGGAAAGGTCATGGAAGCTCCATAGACACATCCAAACTCCCTGAGGAACTGAATTGCTGGGCAGAGGGCTGTGGGGACCATGGTCTCGG